GGCGCAAGACATACTTGCCGCCGTGAGAACCTCAGATATCAGTAGCTGTGTTTATCCATCGAAAATCCATCTGTAGATGTTGATCTGCGGGTAGTAACACAGTGTGGACTTGTAGATAGATACCAATCTTCGAGGCTGAAATCTACACGGCGTCAAAATACAGAATACAGACATCGATTACTTCACCGTCGCGAGAATCTCTAATTCCATAAAATTCATCTCTTTATAAGTCGATCAATTTCTTAATCTATAGGCCTGCAGCAGTTTAATTACCAATCAATCCATTTATCGGTCCTCATTCCATAAGCGTAGCCTGTAACAGCTCCATTAATATATTCATTCGGCTCTTGTGAACATCGTATTGAATTTTCGGGTTGTATAAAATGCAGAAAATGTCTACAATAGCTAAAATACTGAGAGCTTCTAAAGAACGACTCAGCTGCACGGGGTTACATAATCAGTTCATTAGTGATGGAGATGAGCCCAGATTATTGAAGCAGGATGCACATCTGAAACGTCGGCAAACTTCCATCAGACTACACGGCGCAACATCCCAGTAGACACCTTCATACTCGCAGATGGTAGGACCTGAGATCACACATATTCATTAGTCAATCAATATACATAAGCCTATTCATTAATCCCTCAGTCGATCTATATGCAGCAATAAATTAATTAACTCATTAATTAGTCATCATTCTATCGAGTGATCCTCAAAAACATCCATATATTTGCCTATCCAGCCATCCTTCTTTGCAACGGCCCATAGGTCATTGTCCCTCTGTTCGTGTTCGTAGGCGTTACAGTATTAATTAGGCTGCAAATAAAGATTGACGTGATTACACCTCCGCTGTCTAATTCCCGTTTGCAACCCATTCATTCACTTCCAATTCATCGCAGTATCCATCAACTGCGAAGTTACAGCTTTGAGGAAGTGTCATCTTCAAATGTTAAATGATTAGCCCACCATAACAGTCCTAATATTATCGGGAGATCAGGAGTTTCATGCTAGTTCAAAACAAAATGAATCTTTGAACTGATAATGATAAATATTTTCTGAATTACCGCGCGTCACCTGAAAAGGAGGCGATAAGTTCCTAAAATTCTTTACCACTTTTAAAGTCAAACGGCTAAAAGCGTTAGGCCTACATTCACCTAAAAATTTGTGTTGGGATGCCTACATTTTATTCTTAAGATATATTATGACGCAACTGGGTTTCGATTTAATTCTATTAACCTATACTAAATATGAAATCAAGCCTATCATGTGAAAGTTTAATTTAGAAAGAAGAAATTGTATTCTCAAAAATGGAAATCGAACGGGTTAACTGAAAGTGAGGCTTACAAAATTAAAATAAAAGTGAAATCGACAGTAGTGTTGAGAGATAAATGCAATCAAATGACGTGTAGGATTAAAACTGTATGAGGTGTGTCTCCTTTCCCAGTACGGTATGTTTAGTTAACGCGAATGGCTGTCTGAGAGCAGAATTTTCTCGAGAGGTTTTCGGGTTGGCGGTCACTTGAAAGTTCTTACCCACTAGGTTCCCAGAGAAGCTGGTCACTTCTGCTTTAGACTGAGGATCAGAACAAGGGAAAAGTCTCTGCCATGACAAATGTCAGAATAACTCAGACAAAATGGATTCCCCAGAACTGTGTTTTTCAGCCAGTGTGAGCGCGACATTTTGAAATCAGATGCGTTTCTATACAGTTATCAACAGTTCACAAAGTGTGATAAACTAACTTAATACCTAGATATTCTTTTATCCACTAAGCTCAAGAAGCTATTTGCTGTACAGTGTACGTATTTAATTATAATTTCTAACCGATCACAATTTCCGCTAGTCGTACACGGTCCTGAACAGTTCGAATACGTGGATCGATCCCCACTCAAGGTATTAATGTTTGTGCGCGTGTTTCTGTGTTTTTCTGTACTGTGTCAGTAGCATTGATATAGGTCGGTCGTCTCGAAGGTTTAATAACTTCAGAAGCAGCATGATTCTAAATTGGAAGAGAAATGGAACAGGCCAGTGAACCTAAACTGTAAAATTTGAAACTGCAGAATGAGCGGACGAAATTACTTCTCTAAAGCAAGTGTTAGTTATTTCTTTTCCCAAAAATGTCGCTAAGGTTCTTAAATTTTCTATGAACTGCTGACATATTGAAAGACAAGAGAGATTCTATAAAGTAACTCTGTGTAAAACATGTCTGAAGAATAAAACAAACATGAATCGTGCAGTTTTAAAAATAAAGATTACAACGTGAACAGAAATTACATTCGTCACGTACTCAACAACTCTTTATAAGGTAATCATCAGGTATAACACCCACCCATTTATTACAATTTAAACAATCTCAATTTTTAATCTTATTACTTTAATGAAGAGCGTACTGTAAAATTGTAATTTATGTTTATGGTGATAATAATTATATAATTCGTAAATAATACGACGGTATGTATCATAGTGTGATAATATGAGCATACAGCACTAATATACATAAATTTACAGTGGCCCGATATGGTGTGTCTCAGTGTGGTAAATATTGACAATTTCTGAACTATAACTTAACCTTTCCACTGTTTGATCGTCCTCTAATCTTGGGCGCTATTTAATCCGCTCGGCTATTAGGATCAGCTTAGAGCGGTGATTATCAAACTTTTTGTGCTTGGTACCCCTGATAAAGACAAATAAAAATCTGGTACCCCCACGCAAAAGAAACTTGGAAAATGCACAACCTACATTTTGTATTTATGATAGAAAACAAAATAGCTTTTCTATATTAATTTTAAATGCGTAAATTATGTGAACTAATTTCAGGTTGCAAGAAGAATAATTGGTTTTGCCACCCCCTACATCACACAACGTATATGAATGAGGATTTATTGTACCCTTGGGAAGAACCTCTGGTACCCCAAGGGGTACCAGTACCACAGTTTGAGATCCGATGGCTTAGAGGGAGCCTTCTGCTGTTCTCATACACGCAGGATGATAGGTGACGTCATTTTGTTACCTGGCAAGCATGCAGCATGCAGCATGAGGACCCGGGAGGGTGAAATGTGGGGTGAGGGGTTGATTATAAGAAAGGCCTATGGAGTGTGACAGGGGCAATGAAATGGGACTAACAACAAAAACGGGAGGGAGCACCAAGGGAATTACCAACCTGACAAATATAATCAATTGTATCGTACTAGTACGCGGTTATAGACCTACGGTGATAAGTTACAAACCACCTGGACTTCGATATCTGTACTCAAGGCTCCATAAAAAATTCCATCACTACTCTGTATTGCTTAAAAAAATTCACATTTATTCTCGAGGGATTTAGTATTGGACGAAATGCCAAATACACGTGGATGTTTCAATTCACAGTAAAATGCAGTATCTTCAAATAAAATGACGTTCTACGTGAGATTACATAATCATTCATATTACGTAAGTTAGTCTAACAGAAATGGAAGTGTTAGTTGGCTTCATATAAACAATGAAAATTTTAGTCTAAAAAATTAGATTGACGGAAAATGTAGAAGGCTTGGTGAGAAGAATGAGAAATTGACAAAAATCCTGATCTGAAGAGGCCACATGATGGATAAATTTACGATTTATTTTGAGAAATAGTGTTTGAAAATGTGGACTGGATTAAACCGACTCATGACGAGGTACAATATCTGCCTTTTGTGAGTACGATGACGAGACCTTAGGCTCCATAAAATCTGAGAAGGTGAACAGCCAAAGCTGTCGCACTGCTTTGCCTTGATCAACCTTTCAATACCAGTTTAATTTCTGTTGCGATTCGCATGCATCGCTCAAAGTGCCCGATTTGACGTTTTTCAGCAAGTTAACAGTTGCTCATAGCGACAGCCACTGCAAACTACTGACGACATTAACAATGAAGACAGCCATCTTCAGAGTCACCGCCGTGAAAACCTCAGATCTTACGACATTAACGATGTGTATATTGTGTTATCTGGTAGCCTAGCTAAACACATCGACGGGACGCGGGTTGAGAACACTTACTTTAGATAAATACCAAGTGAATGAACCAAAATATCAATCATTGTCGTGATGAAAGGTGCCGAAATGCGAAACGCTGAGTCACTGCGGCTGATTTTCGTAACTACGTCGCGTCCCATTTCCTTATGCCCAGCACGTTCTGGTTATTCAGTGGCCGGGATGGCTATTTTCAGCAACATGCGAGGTTTACTTCAGAGTTCATTATCCCCTTAACAGGGTGGGTGGGGAGAGGAGAGAGAGGTGTGCAAGATTCCGGTGAATTGTAATAACGTTAGTTATCTCGTCTATCGACAGGAACACGACGAGGTTTCGCGCCACAGGGATAACTGGCGAAATGGTTTGGACGAAAAGATGGCTATTTTATGGGTTATTGCAGGCAGCAAGAATCTCTAAAACGTTCAAACTTCCACCATAATACACGGCGCTACATCCAATAAGACAACCAGTTTCGTACTCACCACTTCGATAACCCCAAATCCTACTTAATGAGAATGTAGCTAATTATTTGTTTAACAAAGTCTGTAAACTTTTACCGGTAAGTCTTGAGACTCTGACATATGCAAACTTGGGCGAACATTCGTCTAGTAAATGTGATACAATTGCAGAGTCTGATAATGAAAATCCTAACGAAAATATTAATATGACGTAGCCTAAACGTCATGCATACTATTATATCCTATTATCTAGGTCTATATCCACGTAGACTAATATTAATCCCATTTCCATTCAATTTGACTATTTTTTGGGGTTGTTTCACCTGGTGATAAAGGCAATACGGACCTTAGAAATGTCGATGAACGTCCACCAGACTTCACGGTGAAACAACCCAGAAGACGTGTTAATCTTACCCATTGATCTCAATGTGATTTTGAAATTGTTGAGGTAAGCGACGTAAGAAATATGACACAATGGTCATGTTTCTGGAATGTATTGATCGAAAATCGGTTAGTTTAAATCAGAAATTGGAGGCCTACTTGCAGAGATGGAATGCGTCAACTCACACGGCCTTCCTCGTGCAGATACACGTTAAAAACTGTAAATGTCACCAGTATTTAATACAGAACAAAGCCTGCAAAATATCCTTGCACACATCCACAGGAATCTTAACTCATACCTACACAGACGAGGGTGAACTGTCTTGTTCTGTTTGTGTTTGTAGCATTTGCAGTCAGACTGTCCTTGTTAATGCAGCGGGCCGACTCAGGACAGCGCTGTGAAGTGTTCCGTGTTCAAGAGCAAAGTCGGAAGAGAATGGAGCAAGGTATTGATAAGACGAAACGAAAGGAGATTTACGGAAGGGAAGAGGGCTCGTGTTTCACATACAGTGCGAGAGAAATCGGCGACTTCACTTCTAAACTGTGAGTAGACAGTTTCTATTGTTTTTCAGAGGATATTTGTGCCTGAAGAAAGTCGTATCAGAACTGAAGACGACGTCGTGTGCTATGACGAGCAAAAAATGTGCTTTCTTAATATACAGATTATTAATAGTGACAGCGGATTTAATTTATAAGCTTATGCTTTGTGAGTAATGTGGCAACACAATATAGGGAAGGATAATACGGCTGTTTCTTCAGATAAAATAATAAATAAAACAACAAATAAAGGAAAATTTAAGAAACTTTTGTTATACACAGTACATTCTCGTATCACTTAATATGAAGGCTTTTGCAGGAAAGGGACTTAACGCAAATTGAACAAGATCTAATTAAATATTAATTGCAACTTGTTCACAACAGTGCTTTGAGCTTGAATGAGCAGCCATTTTATGTAACTAGACTGGAAATTTGCCATATTTATATAAACGCCTAGGTAAAGTAGTCCAGTTCACTATAGTTTCCGGTTAACAGATTTGTTATCCAACAGGAACTTAAAATACTTCCGAAATCATTACATTTTTTCTTTCTTCAAGCATAATGATCTGACAAACATCTCATGTAATTAGAAAACAAAATTTTCAGAAGCCTTAACGTGTCTCAACCCCAACTTCAAATCATTTTAACTATGTGTACCTGTAGGCCTCATGAACATACCAAATCGTACTTTTTGTTTTTTTTAAAAAGCTTAATTGAATTTATTCTCCTTAGAGACAAAGAAAAATTGCATTGGAGAAAAGGGCTTATCAGAGTAAAACTTATTTTGGACAATAAAATATTTGTACACCTGAGAAATATCGATTAGTCTGTTTTGGCTGCATTACAAGCTACAACTCTGAAATCGCTAGACCGGTTTGGACGTATGTCTGAAAACAGAATCCTAAAGCTGCTGTAGGCCTATAAATCTAAATTGAAGTTCAGAATACGCCAGGGATTTCAGACAAAATTATAAGAGAATCAAGGAGTCTGTCCTCTGGGTTTAGTTTACCGCCGTTTCAGAGGTGCTTCTACTGATGATGGAGGCACAAAGCACCTCTAAAACGTCTGTAAACTTCTACCAGGCAACACGGCGCAACAACTCAGAAGACAGCCATCTTCATACTCGCTGTCGTGAGAACCTGAAACCCGCCAAACATACAAAAGAAGTGTCAGTTCTCCTGACTGCAGCACGAATCCTGTTTTCCTGTTGGTTATGTCGCTGTTGCACTGACTACGAGCTGCAGTCCGCAGACTGCCTACGTCTGGTTTCACTTCCTTGTGGCCGACAGAACAGCGAGACACCGGGGGCTTCTACTCGTCATCAGACAAGATGACGCTGCAAAGTGAAATACATTTGGGAGTGTGGCAGGAAAATCACGGTAGCCCACAATAGATCTCATTGCCATGTAGGCTTTAGCGTTACAGATTAATACTAGTTGTGTTTATATTGTCTTGGCTAAACTCAACATTTTGTTTGCAAGTTAAGTTGAGTTGAAAAAATTCTATCCTGTTTAACCGTTTAAAGCAGAATGGCAACTTTTTGTTCCACCTGCTTCAGTAATCAGCAACTATTCGTTCTGTATTTATGGGTTTCAGTCTAAGTCAAACGATTAGCTTCAACAAGTTAACAGAATGCAGATACACAGACTTCTCGAATTACCAGCGTAATCAGGTATTTCCTTACATTGCATTATTCAACTGATCTTTGTAATGATGTTTTCTTCGCTCTAAGGACTGAATTATTAAACATTATTTAGACAAGCTTCAGTATTAAATGGTTAAATCGGGTTACAGACCCAGAGTTCGTATTTTGTAATCTATTATTTTTGTCAGATTTTAAGTAAAACTGGAATGCATTGACAAATTTCAGTAGACTAATACTTTCAGCATCAAATTTAATTAAAATCCGTTCGACTGTTCCCGAGTTGTATCAAGATATATAAACACACTGGCATGGTGATGCTAAATTATGCATTTTTGCAACTTCAGTTTCGAACGCGCCAGAAACAGAATAAGATACTTTTCTTTAAAATATCTCGGCACAAAAATAGTTAACATACGAAATACAAACGTAATAAAGTAACATATTTACTTTTATTTTCTTATGTCCCAAAGTCCAAATAGTCTCGTATACAGAATATATCATGGTAAAGAAAATATATTATGATATATTTACAACTTGGAAGCAAACTATGTACAGCTACAGTAAAAATGCAAAGTACTGTATCCTTGAAGCTCAATGCAAGTGAATTACAGAAACACACATAAGTTTTTACATTATTGTCCTGAATTCGTACGTACCTCATTCACTCTCACCCACTCGTCTCATCTTAACGCAAATGAAGTAACTACATCTGGTACTGGCTTCATTTCTAAGTTACGTTCTTCAGTAAGAATGCGAACCTTTCAAAATATTTCTATAGCCTATACAACTGTCTTATATCCACAATGCATCATGCCATGTTAAAATGAAATATTGGTTTCAGAATGTAGTATGAACAATCCATAGACAAACCAGAACCGCTCAGTCAATTAGTGATAATTACGAACTGGCCGTCCAAGCTTCAATTACTAATAGAAAATTGATTTTTAGCTTCACCGTCTTGCAGAAACCTGCTCTGAGCCCAAATTAGCTTCCAGTCCACTCGGTATGAAGGCTGCTTACCTGGCGAGTAAGAAGGCTGCAGCGTGAAGGTAACCATTCACCACAATCTACTGTCGAAATTAAAAATACACGAAACTTTCAAACCCCATGATCATTTTCATGGCGTAATGCATACGGTAACTTCACCTTACTAACTCATAACACGAATTCACTACTCTAATATTAAATCCGCCAAACTATCTTTAAAAAAATAATTTATCACAAGCAACAAAAGACATCACGTGTTTAACAACATAAAACATCATATTATGAAACCATCAAATGTAACAGTGAAATTAATAATTATATTTCGTTCCACTGACACTTTAAGACTTAAATATCATATTTATAAACATGACTTTGCAAATGTTTTGAGCTTAAAACCTTCGTTTATGGTGTCTTTGGTCCCCGTGATCTCAATCCGCCTCGAAATGGCGAAGTATTCCATTTCTGAAACGTCGCGGCGTAGAATAAAGTTGTGTTTGATGGCCGCCGTGGGTCAGGGAGCTTACGTGACCTCTATGCCCCCCTCCCCGGAGGGGCTATAGACTCCACACACACATATTGACCATTGTCACGAAGGATAGCTGAAAATCATCAGTGGATCCCAGTCGATTTCGAAACTAAAATCACCGACACAAATGACTTTGGATGTTCTTACGCACTCTTTGCAAAGTGCACGAAGTGGCCACGTTGTGAGGACACTTGGCGTACGTATCTCGTCTCCGAAGTAAGAAATGGGGCTATAAAAGTTCTCAGGCAACATTCTTGTTTGTATCAGTCCATTCATAACACAACTTGCGAATTTAAAATAAGACTTTTACATTTTCACATGGATTAAAATATCGATTTCATTTGGATATTTAAATCTTATGTTAAGAAATCATATTTGTAAATACGATTGATATTTAAAATCTCTAACTCTGCTGACAGTCTACTGAATAAAACAATTTTTACACGAATTTTGATATTCGATTCATAACATGTTAAAATTTCCGAAATCCACCCTTCACTTTTTCTTAACACATACAACAGCATGTGACTAACCACATATATTACATTATATACACTAATACATCAACTTATAAAACAATCAGGAACTATTTTTGTGGCAGTTTGTTAATTACGCAACAAATACAGGCTTATTTTCGAAGGGAAGTCAGCAATTTGAGAGGGAACTAGCAATTGTCCCCTCTCCCTCCGGAAATATCCTGCCCACGTTACCTACAATACAGCCGAGTTTAGTCAGTATTTATCCGGATGACCGGGTTTCGATTCCCGACAAGTCCGAAGTAGCTAGGACGCATCCAAATGGTACCTGAGGCTGTTTCTCTGTTTTCACTGCTGCCAGAGTATGAAACTGGCCAATTATCTCTGTCTAGGTCGAGGTATGTGGTACTTTACATTCACTTCCCCCCCCCCCCATAAGCCCCATATTTTTAATATGGTGCTTATGCACAGGGACACTTAACCTCACTTTCATCTGAGCTTGAACGTTTGCAGTACGCCACCATATTTAGGAGACAATTCAGACTTTTTTATCTAGTTTCTGAGAACCGTTCAGCCTTACATCACTTCCGGTGGCTGTTGGGAGCTGCATTCGTGTTGTTGTACGGATAATACGGGGAGTTTCGATTGCCCTGCTGTTGCTGTAGCGTCTTCATGAAGTTCTCAAACGACTTGACTGATTTGGCGTCATTAAACCAGTCCATGCTCGGGTTCGTATTGTGCTTGTTTGAATTCCAGAATCTGTTCATCTCGAGCTGCTGACGGAACATGACAGCAGAAGAAGGCAGCAGGTGCGAGGGGTAAATGTCCGCGGGCTGTTGTCGCTGCAGCCCAGACCTGGAGCAGCCAGGCAGCGTATCAGCAGGTGGAGAGGGCGACGATGAAGACAACGAGGAAGGCCGCTGTTGCTGCGAGTGTCCTGAACGGTGAAGTGGTGGTATAGGAATACGAAGCTGTGGCGGTGGCGAACGCACTGGTATAGACATAACAGGAAAAGGAGAAAGAGACGACAATGGCGACAGAGGAGGAGGCCCGGGGGAAGGACACTGCTGTTGGTGACGACGTGCCAGTGTCTGGGCAATGGACATGATGTTGCTCTGCTGCTGGCGACGTGGTGACGCAGACAGATCTAGAGCACCAATATCATTGCAATCCCCATCTTGTTTCCCCTTAAGAGATGGAGGTTGTAGTCTGGGGACAAAGTTACAGTGCGCTGCGGCAGGTACAGGCACTGAAGAAATCTGCTGTCCGTTTCGAGAGACAGACAAAGACCCTAGAATTTGGTCAGACTTCGGGGCCTGACCGTCATACTGTTTTGACAAAATGTTTGGGAGATTTTTGTGCGCGGGACGCTGCATCGGAATGGGCGACTCTACCTTGTCAGTAAGACCGTTATTCTGAACGCCGTGGCCCTTCTGACCTTCTGTTGTCTCGACATGAGCCGGTGATTGGAAACTACTGTTAGTGGTTTTCGGAACAACCTGAGAACTCTCTCCTGTGACATTTTTAGAGGTTTCACTTTCACTGGGATTGGAAGTACATTTGACTTTAAACTCGGATGACTTTTGGTCAACGTGAATTGTCCTATGATTGTTTTCTACGCCAAGGCGCCATTTCTTGGACGCCGGTTCCAAGTTATCCTGTCCTGTGGCATCTACAGAGTTAACCAGATGTCGCTTCACTGGATTTGTAGCGAGTATACACCGCTTTTTAGAGGTCGACTTATCGTCGTTGGCTCGAAGTTGACCGCACGTCTTTAGCGTATCCTGCGGTTTCCTCTGCAAGATCTGCGCCGTCCGTTTAATAGTATTTGGACAACGCATTATTTCGTCATTTTTCTTTAAGATTTGCTGATTATTTTTGATGATCTGAAGACTTTGATGGGAGATCTTGTTGTTATTATTAGAGGCCAGAGGGGTACTATTTGTGCTTGAGGTCTTCTTATCTAGTCCTTTTTCTGGATCCGGTACAGCATTCACTGATTCCTCTCTAACGTCCTTTTTATCGCCATCATCGGGTTTGTCCTTTCTGGAGGTTAAGAGGTTATTCGCGTGTTTGTCGACTATTTTCTGATTCACACGAGGTGGTCTCGCTGAATCTTTAGTTACCTGAAGTTGGTGTCTGGCTGTGCTAAGCTGCTCTTTATTATTGGCAGAGTTGGGCGTAACTTTAACAAAGACGGAAGAGTTCCTTGCCAACATCTGAGCACGCTGTTGGACCGAATTTGTCAAAGTGGGTTTTGTTTTACTTGCTGCATCTGGCGGTACGGTCGTAGTTACGCCAGATACACTTACAGGCTTCCTGTTAACTTCAGTGGGTAATCTGTCCATGCAGTTGACTGCAGATGTTTCTTTACAATTCGCTGTACCACTTTCTGATGGCTGTACTTGTTTGGGTAAAGGTTTGGAACCTGTGTCACCGAGACCAATAGATGAAGAAGGAGGCGTTTTGATATTGTCATCAAGATGTTCACCGATTGTAACTCGGCCACTCTTTGGAAGGCTGTTGTCTGCAACAGATGATGGCTGATTTTGTGGTTGCGTAGAATCTGTGGAAGAGGAATGTGCAGATGTCTTGACAGTGGCAATCTGACTGACCTCTTTTGTAAAGGTCTCGGAGTTTGGCTGCTGTGCCGAGATTCCGGTGCCCGCTTCGAGGTGCGTCTGCTTTGCGGCACCTGTCGGAAGAGGTTGTTGACGAATTTTCGAAACTGTTATAGAAGGCGTCTGCTTCTGCATAGTTTTACTTGCAGTTGCCAAAGATGGCAATGACGCTTTGCTTGATGGTATCGCGAGTGGTCGTATTGGGGTTTTAGTGACAGCAGACGTCAGCGAATTAATTGGTTTTAATGCTGAAGGCGTTCTGGTAATGGTCACCGAGGATTGATTTGTGCCTTTGTTTATTAATCTTGTTCGACTATGTATATGAATTCCTGTGGAACTATTATGAAGTAACTGTGAAGAATTTGACTTGATAGGAGCTTTGGTAGACGCTACAACCGACATCTGCACAGCGGCTTGCGTATTTACAGCAGTTGTTGGAGACGACTGCGTGACAGACGTGGTGACACTTACCACGTGAGACTGTACAGAAACAAACGTGGGTTTATCAGATGACGAACTAGCAGCGACTGTTGTGACCACTGTCTGTTTTAACGTTTCAGGGGGTACAACAGCAGTTGCTTGAGGTATCGCTTCAGAAACGTCTTTAGCGTTTGACGAAAAGGGTTCTGTCAATCGACAGACAGTTGAAGATGACTGTAAAGTGGATGATGTCGGCGATGGCTGCTCAGCAGACGCTGAGGCAGCAAGGGCACGAAGTCGTTTCTCGCCTGGAGCCAAAGTGGGGTCTTTCTGACTTTGGCAGATTCGGTAGAAGAATTTCATTGGCCCATTCTGAAAAACAAGCAAGGCAAATCATATTTGCTACCAACAATTTTACGTGTGACTAACAATTCACAACTCCATTCAAAACATTATGTTGCCAAGACTTAAAGAAAAGTAGAGTGTACAGCAAGAGGACGGAATAAATGACCGTTAATGCAGTGGATCTATTTATTAAACTTAGCAGCAATCAGCGAATTGCTTAACCAACTAACAAAGTATCTAAACAAATACCCAATAACAGACACGAATGAAATATGAAACGAATCGAACCAACAAAGTACCCTGTTAACCCATTAACAAACATTCTACATAAGTACATACATCCTTTCCTAAACATCAAAATGTAATCAATAGCAAAAACACAAATTAAACAATTGTAGAAATATTAAACTCATTAACGCGTATAACAAAATTCATTACGCATCTAAGGAATTAGTCAACCAACTTAGTTACTAAAAAACACAACACTTACGTAACCAACTACGTCTTCATGGATCGGGTGTACCCCAACCCACCACAAATAGTAAAATATGGTCCAGTTTCACATTCTTTGGCAATACTCACCAAAATATTCAAAAGCACGAATATCAAAGTAACCTACAAAGTCACTAACACCATAAAACTCCGATGCAATTAAAAACAGCCACGTTGTGTTGCATGAGGACTACATTTGTGAATATGTAATGTGATTTATTATGGTCATTTGTAGGTGCGTGCACTATTAAATGTCAAATTACACAAGACAATCATGTTTATTTATTTATTTAATATCTCTGTTAACCGTCGACGTGATAATGATTAGTGCATTGGTAGAGGACGTGGGAGAACTGATCAATCGTAGGTAACACAAACTATAAAATTCTAGTGCAAATACAGAGGGAAAACTACAAAAAATCTAATTCAGGGTAGTAGGCTGTGTAATCGAGATTTTAACAGGAATGAAATTAATTAGAATGGGGTACGCTTTCTATATAACGCGACAAGCCCTGCGGTTAACCATGATTATGCATGGTGAATTGAAGGAATCTGCTGAGTAAAACCACGACAAACTCAAAACTGCCCGTGTTCTGATCGAAACTCGATTTAAGCAAGTTGACTGTACCGAGACGAGAAAAATGTGTTACTAGTGAAACAACGTGTTTTTGGCTGGGCTAATATATGTCCGTGGAAAATGGTCATTGAAATAGTGTTGTAGTAGTGTAATAAGTGTTCGTGAAATGTGCATCTACTGTCGATTCAACGGACCTTCTGCGTGCCGACTCAGCTAAATACCAGGAGACAGCAAACAAAGGCTAGTAAAGTGTTTTATTACTATTTACTGAAGCTGATATTTATTTTTATATATGCACATTAACGTTTTATTGGATTGTAAATAATTAATAAAACTGAGAAGTAACCTTGTTTCCAAACGAATAGCAGCAACGGAGATGTCTGATTTATTGCTGGTGTATGACCCTAAGGTACAGACCCGGAACGGTACAGTGCTGTTGGGGAAAAGCTTACAACGTGGCGACAATGCACGTTACGTCATGAAGTCACAGTGATCGAAAATTCTTGTTGTATGTGTATCAGACATCCAACATCCATGTTTCTAGGTCAGTCTTATAATTATTTTTCGCTCGGACTTCACAATTAAGTAATTAATGGCAAACTGCGAGAGTGGAAACTTAATTATGTATTGCAAACTGTAGCAGTTTTAATTTATTTTTGTCAAATATTTATAAAATGTTTTAAAATAAGTTTCTAAGTGTTTTATAAGCTTTAAGACCTCTTCACTAGCGTCATGCCATGGTTCGCATTTAATGCCCCCAGAATACGTCGACGGATTTTAATTAAATTTGATGTGAACGTTATGTCATTTGTGGCCAATTCAAAATCTCCCCAACTTAATTATTGATACCGATGCGATGGAAGCTCAGATCCCTGACGTGTGGCAATGAGAACGCCATTAGAAAAAATCTTGTACGCATACGTGACGATACTGGCCTTGGTCATTTCCGGTAAAGACCGCCTACATGTGTGTAATAATCGGATGACTGACGGACATTATTGAAATTTATGGGCATTACAGCGTTTGACACCAATAGCAAATCCCATATTTTAATTTGTTTTACACTCGGTAAAACGTAGACTAGATGCGACATCCATCCTTACGCATTTAATAACTGGATAATATCCGTAAGAATTTACATAGGATTTGGTACGAACATTGACGTAAGCGATTAGTCCAAGCTCATACATAGCGTATTCCTACATTCCATAATACCAACGTGATGGCTGTTTGAATTCGTGATGTGGAAAATCGATCAATCCATTTCACATGATACTCCGCGTATGTGCGTCCCTACACCTGTGATATCCGTCGGTGCGCATGTTTTAAGGAATTTTATGGCTTTGGCATGAACGTTATGCTATTAAAAATTCATAATTCGAAACTTTCTAAAACTTATAATACCAACGTGACGAGGTGCTTGAAGTCATGAGCTGGAGTGACGACGCAGTCCTCGATGTCCGTTTGTACGCATTTAATAAATCGAAACTAGTTGGACAGATTTTCACGAAGTGTTTTACAGACGTTATGGCAAGTGAATCTAACCAAAAATCGTAGTTATTAACTTTCCCGAATTGGTAATACCAACGTAACGGATGTCGAAAATTTCCTACATTTTTAATACCAACACAACGGATCTCGAAATCGTACGGCGAGGCACTGATTATGCCATTACTCATCGTTTAGCGTGATTACGCAATCGGCCCTGATGAGGTAATTTTAAATTTACGACAAAAAGCTTTCGCATCAAATGTTCAGCAAGGACCAACCTTAATTCATGTGTACGTCAAAGAAAGAGCCTTTCCAGTTTTCAAATCTTTGCGGCATTATCTGTGAAATTTAACGTTTCGTAGCCACAAGTTCTCAAAATTTACTTCTTTTTTTTTTTGGTGGGGGGGTTAGTTGGTTTGCTGTATTTTGAAATCAAAAGGGTTCCATGGACAGAAAATAGTTTCGATGAATCTACTGGAGACAATTCTTTAGTAAAATTAATAACATAGAATATTTTATTTTCACGAGGCAAGAAACTCACCCTCTTCCACGTATAGATATAGGCTACGTCCATTAGAGTATATTCGTCCGGCAGGGATTCTCGCATGTGAATCACTTCCACCTGAAACAAGATAACACATGCAAACAATCTTGCACACAACAGAACTACTCTTACACGAGAAAATGTTCACACAGAAATTATTTCCCAGAACTGAATATTTTTATTTATCAGAAAACATTTCATCACACAAAATATTAGCCCTGTAACATGGTTAAAGATCACACAAAGATGTTTCTCTCCTGTCTCCTTTCACTGTTATCAGGTACGCAAAGACTTACTAGGATAGAACTAGTGCAAAGAAGAAGACTTGAATTATATGCTGACATTGTTTAATTTAAATGTCAGACTCAGTCCGACAACGGACCTGAACTCGGATATTTAAATGTCAGACTCAGTCCGACAACGGACCTGAACTCGGATATTTAAATGTCAGACTCAGTCAGACATCGGACCTGAACTCGGATATTTAAATGTCGGACTCAGTCCGACATAGGACCGCAAAAGGTTAAAAATTAGATAGCCAAATACAGTCCACACCATCACGCCACGTTTCTTTGAGATCCGCTTTAATATTATGTAGCACAGTCTACGCCAAGGTCTCTTATGTCCAGGTCTGTACGTCTTCCTGTCACTCAGGAGCTGATCTTGTCCCATCTGATCTCTCGTATTCATCAACCAATAAACCTGCCAGTAAGTTAATCTACACTTCGCTAATTATCTTGCTACTGTTTTAATGAACGTGACCTACGTTCCAAATCGCACGCCTAATTTCCATTCTTCAGGTTGTTCAAAAGAATTCGGCAGTGCGAGAGAGGCTCTGTAATATTATATAACCTGTTAATTCTATTACGGTGATGGATCGTTATCCCCCGACTACTACTACTTTAACTTGCATTACGTAACTGTGATTATTAGCCACACATTTCTCCCTTCTTAACGAACAACTGAAACATCTACCCAAACTTTTTAATTCATTCGAAGAAATACGTGTAAGTTTATACCATGAAGAAATTACGCTACAAACCCACATACAGTTTTCGATATTCGTACATCATACTAACATCGAACACTTTTTCCCAAATCATATCATAACGGTTTATAAATTTGTTTTCAGACAGTCCAAGAATTTGCCTACTTCTTATATGACGGGTCTAGGGTTCGATTCTCTGCTGTCCTGACAGTATTACATTTTTTTTCCACAGTCCATCGTGATGAATGCTAGCAGGCCTACAGTAAATTATCGTTAAATAGACCACGGCCATTTGGCCCCTTGCATCCAAACTCGTTTACAATCACCGTACCGTTCGAAATGAGTGATCAGCTTCATGCTCCGACCCGATTGTCCTACTGCATTGGAGACTGGACGTAACACTAGATAAAAGAGCTGTTCTTTCCGGACATTAAAGCACAGTTTTGCAGCTGGTTGTGAACTCCCGAAGGACGTGGGAGAATGCAATCGTAGTCAGCTTCAAGTATCGAGGGGAGTGGTTAATTTTCACGTTCTGGTCGCTTTACTGTCGATTAGGTGCGCTGTATTCATTAAATACTATGAAGAAATGATCCCAAAGCCGTTCAGGGCATAACAGTGGCGGAGGGAAAACGCTGGAATTCGAACACAGGTCGTTCTCTCCGTAGCTGGTCACTTACTGACTGAGCT